CTCGGTTCACTGGAGAATGTCAACCACACACCGAAAGGAGGAGATTTGAAGATAGTTTCCGTGAAGTCGGATTTTTCAAAAGTTAAGTCACGTGTTGGATCATTAGACAACATCAATCACGTACCAAAAGGTGGATATAAGAAATTGATTTCCTTCCAATTGCCATCTGTTTTTTCTTGTCCAATTCAATTACTGATTAATGTTAATCATGTACCACAAAGGTGGTAATGTTAAATTGCTTTCCAGTAAACCGAATTTTACGAAAGTACATTCGCGTGTAGGTTCCTTTGATAATATTGATCATATTCCAAAAGGTGGTGATAAAATTATATTTAATGATAATTTAAGCTTTACAAATGTAAAATCTCGTGTCGGTTCTTTGGATAACATTCAACACGTTCCTAAAGGTGGTGATGTTAAAATATTTGATGAAAAATTAAAGTTTAGAGAATTAGCTACTCCAAAAATAATTAGTTATTCTTCCACCACTTCTAGCGTTGATTCTTCGGTTATCGCTGATGATGATCGATCAAGCCTTGTTAATAGTCCCATATCTTCTCTCGCTTTGGATGATGTTCCTGAAGATGATAATGATAGTCCTCCCTCACATGAGGAATATCAGACATTATATAATACTCCTCATACGCCTGTTATCGAAGTGATGTCTCCTATTATGGAACGTTTCGAAGAAGAAGAAATACGTGAAGATTTATCTCATATCGTCGAAACTGGATTTCATGATTCATTTCAGGAAGCAAACAAACACACCGAATTTTCTTCTCAAAATAATTTCATTGATAATGATCAATACTTTTCTGGAAAAGAAACACATTATCAACATGGAATCGTTTGTGATGAAGTTAACGATGAAGAAGATTTTCAAGGAAATCCTACTTCTAAAAGAGAATCCACTATATTTTTTACTGAGAATCCTTTAAATGATTCTGATTTATCTTTTGAAGTTAACGTTCAAAGAAAATCATTTTTATTATCTAATGCTGATATAAATTCTATAGATGAAGATATAAATCCCGCTCCATCAAAAGAAATGGTTCATACGGTTGAAATTCCTCCTAAAAATGAAAATGATTTTCAAAAACTTGAATTAACTTTCGCTCAACAACGTATTTATGATGAATCTTGGCTATAATATATATATTTTTATTTATATGTACATATTTTAATTTTCATTTTATATTTATAACAAAAATATTCAAAATTTATGGAATTATCTATCATCAATATATGTATTATAATAATAAACATGGATGACTTTCATGTCTCCAATAATTATTCTGCCTATAATTTTCCCAGTACCACTGAGGAAAATTTAACTCGTAGATTGAACGTGAAGATCGTTGTGCGACACTAAACTTCTACAGTAGTGTTGTAATGAACGTGTCTTTTGATCTAGACACCATTCGTAACTCTAAAGAATCTTCATCTCCATCATCGAGGTGCAGCAAATATTGATCAGGGCCCTATATAAAACAAAAAAAAAAACCTTTATAATAATATTAAAGGGCTAAGATACGATTTACTCGATTTTAATAGCTGATCGAAAATTGGATTTTCATGAAGCAAGCATATTTCGCTTTTTATGGAGTTTTAAATCAGAATTTTTATATTTTCAACAAGAAAAATTTTATTTGTCAACCCGGGATAAATTTTTTATTTATCAACTACTAAAATTTTAACCAATCAAAACACGTGTCAGCCACATAATTTGTGGCTGTGCGGTGATTGGTTATAATACAGTCCAATTTTGATAAATATAGTAGATTGTAATTTTTTATTAATAATACAAGTAAAGTCCGGCGACCGAAGGGAGCCGGGCTCAAATCACTATTGTAATTTATGCCATAATAATATAATAAATAATATCTTGAATACATTTACAAATTACAATTCGATAGTACAAGTTTTTGCATAGTGACCTATTCATGACATCTTTTACAAGTTACTTTTCGTTTTAATGTTTTGCTTTCTGCAGTCTTACGTTTATTACCCTCAACAGATGATTTAATCCTTTTGTTTGCTGTTGGACCCTTACGCTTTTTAAATTCTGGTGGAAGAATATTCTCAATACTATTCTGATCATCATTATCATAGTGAAATTGAAATAGTCCTTCGTTATTCATTTGTTGAGAAAGCTGTTTATCGATAATCCACTGATTGATAGTATTATAAAGGCTAAAATCTTCATCATCGATAGCTTTCTTAAGTGCTTCCTTAAAGATTCCAGAAAATTTTCCATATATATCTTTAACTCGTCTTGCCTTCACTTTTTCTTTTTGATCATTATCATCTAAATCATCACGAATTTGAAATATAATATTATTGACTATAGGATTAGTTTCTACAATACAATTTGATTGTGATATAAAAGGCTCATTCACTGCAATTAAATTTTGTTCAATTTGCAAATATTTTTCTTTGGACCAACGAATAGGAATAAGTTTAATATAAAAAAATGCTTCAGGGTATTGAGCATAACCTATTTAAAATGTAATAATAGTTAGAATACCATTGTAATAACATTATAAATTATTATAAAAAGAAAGATACCTGAAAAAAATGACAATATGATCCTAATATTATTAAGAATATACAAGAACACATGTGTGTTCTGTTCTTTAGCAAAACAACATTAATTTTGTTTGCATTATATTGCTTAACTTTCCATATAAAAGTGATTAAATCTTTTTCACATCGAGTAATTAAGGTATCAAGTTCCATTTGCTGTGATTCATTATAATTTTCAATAAAATCTATATTAAATTCACCAGCATCTTATTATAAATAAATAATGAGTTAATAGTCATTCATAAAAACATAAATAAAATACACATTACTTACATTGTATAATGATATAAAATTCATCTATTAATAGTTGATAACAATAATATAAAGTTACTTATTTTATTTGTATATAATATAATGATATTAATTCTGTTGTTAAATAAATATTTATCATCTGATCAATTCTTGAAAAAGTTGTATAACTAAATTAGAAAGACCAGTTAAAGCATTAGAATCTTTGAATTCTTAATATTTAATACTCTGCATTTTAATGAATATTCACTTATTTAAACGTTAAGCTAATTGTTATATGTAGCATTTCATTAACTACTCTTTTTATAACTGCATTGTATTCTTCAACATGTTGTGTTAATTATACTCCTATAATAAAAACAGTAGCAGTATAACATCTGGTCTAACTTTTTTAAGATAGTTCTAATGCATGATATCATCAGATTCATTTTTAGTTATCTTAATGTCTAAGTCAAAAGGCTACAGTAGTTGATTCTACATGTTAGAGTTTCTGATCTTAGGATTTTCTCTAAGTCTTACAGATATCTATTATACTAAAATCAACTCAGCAATTTATTACGTCTTAGAATTTAAGATATATTAGTTAAATTAAGTATTCTGCATAAATTCAGATCGATCTGAATTCAATCTGAATCTAATAGATCAGATTCAGATCAGATCTGTCAGATTTAGATCTAATTCATATTCAGATTCTGATCTGATCTGATTTGTCAGATTCAGATTTAGATTTAAATCTGATCTATCAGATTCTAATTAGATTCAGATCTGATCTGTCATATTTAAATTCAACCTTTTTAAAGCTAAAAATTCCTTTTCAATAAAAAGAAATGAATTTTCAGAGCTAAAAATTTGTTTTCTTTCATTGAAAAAGAATGAATTTTTGGATCTCTTTAGACTGAAAAATTTTTTTTATTGAAAATGAATGAATTTTTAAATCTCTTTTAAAGCTGAAAAGTTCTTTTCATTAAAAAGGAATAAATTTTCAGACTCTTTTAGAGCTAAAAAATTCCTTTTATTGAAAGAGAATGAATTTTCAAATACTTTTAAATCTGAAAATTTATTCTTTTTATTGAAAAGAAACAAATTTCAGATTTTTTTAAAACTGGAAAATTCCTTTTATTGAAAAGAAATAAATTTTCAGATCTTTTTTAGAGTCAAAAATTTGATTTCTTTCATTGAAAAAGATAAATTTTTGGATATCTTTTAGAGCTAAAGTTTCTTTCATTAAAAAAGAATAAATTTTTAGACTTCTTTTAAAGCTAAAAAGATCCTTTCATTGAAAAGAAATGAATTTTCAGATTCTTTTAAAGCTGAAAAGTTCTTCTTATTGAAAGAAAATGAATTTTCAGAACTCTTTTAGAGCCAAAAAGGTTCCTTTCAATAAAAAGAAATGAATTTTTAGATTTTTTTTAGAGTTAAAAAGTTTCTTTCATTAAAAAGAAATGAATTTTTAGATCACTTTTAGAGCTAAAAAGTTTTTTTCATTGAAAAGAAATAAATTTTCAGACTTTTTTAGAGTTAAAAAATTCCTTTCATTGAAAGGAAACGAATTTTCAGAACTCTTTTAGAGCTAAAAAGGTTTCTTTTAATGAAAAAGAATGAATTTTTAGATCTTTATTAGAGCTAAAAAGTTCCTTTTATTAAAAAGAAATAAATTTTCAGAACTCCTTTAGAGCTAAAAAGGTTTCTTTTATTGAAAAAGAACTATTTAGAAATTTTTTAGAGCTGAAAAGGTTTCTTTCATTGAAAAGAAACATTTTCAGATTTCTTTTAGAACTAAAAATTCGTTTTTTTAATAAAACTTTCAGATTCAGATCAGATCAGATTTGGATTTAAATTGATTTGTCAGATCCAGATTTAAGAATCAATCTGTCAAATTCAGATCAAATCTGAATTTTAACAGATCTGTCAGATTTGAATCAGATTCAAATTCTGAAAAATAAAATCAGATTAGATCAGATCAGATTTGAATAAAATCTGATTTGATCTGATTTTGCAGAATACTAATCAAACTTGTAATAATAAACTCAATAACAAGTTATCATAATAAATCCTAGATGGGAAACAATGTTGAAGGAAAAATAAATTTGTATAGATTTAAATTGATTTCTTTTATTTATAATTTGAAATTTATAGAAGAGTTAATTTACAATTTAAGCAAAAAGTTATTCTATTTATACAAAATAAATTTGCTACAGCTAACTATTTGCTATATTATAAATTAACTAAATATAGATATATGTTCTAATAAAAATATATTTAAATGTAATAAAATAATAAAAATAATATAAATTATAAAAATAATAAAAAGAAATAAAATAAATTACAGACGTTAAGAAAATTACAGGTAAAACAAAATAAATAGAATAAATAGGCTATATAAAAAATACAAAGAAACAGAAAAAACAAGTAAATTAGAAATTATTATTAATCACTATTTAGTACAGTGATGATATCATCTAACATAATTGATTAGCAAATCTCATGTAATGTTTGAAGCTATAATTTCTTTCATTAATAATGAATTAAATAATTAGAAACAACTGAATATTTTTCTTTAAGCTGATTCTATCTTGCTAAAAATTCTTTAATTAAAATCATATTTTAGAATTTATAAAAATCTGTAATAAATTGTTAATATTTTTCATTAAGTGTTTCCTTTAATTTTCGTAATAAATTTTGAGAAATATGATAAATACAATGAAGAATTCTTATTTTACTATATTTATATTCTATTGCCATAACTATAATAGAATCTGCATCTATACAAATATTTGTGGTATAATTTCTGTTGCTTCTTTAGTACAATTCAGAATCTATCTGTAAGAATTAACTATTTTATCATTAATTAATGCTTATATAACTAATCTAGATTGACAATAATTATTAATATATATAAATAAGCTTAATGATATATTATATCAATTTGCTTTCATTGTATTATCATTTAATATAATATCAAAAAATACATTTAAATATTTATTCTACATTAATCCAAAAAATTCTCTCTAATCATCTAGTATATTTATTTACTTACTAATGAATATACTATCTTAGATCTTATTTTTTTTTAGTAATAAACTACTCTAAAAGATTTACTATATTATTTTCTATATCAACACACACATGTTTAGCTTTTTGAATTGCATTGGAAAGATCTTAAAAAAGAATTGTATAATTTAGAAATATTTCATTTAGTATATTATATTGTTAAGTTATATCAAGATTATATTTTGTAAAAATTTTAATATGCTTCATCATATCCTCAGTTATTTAATGATATTTAACATAAAAATTCACAAACTTTAAATATAAATTATGTCTATTATGTGATGTAACATAATTGATAATACTAATAAATCCTTTAGCTTTAATATAACTAAAATTTACTTAAAAACTACATTCAGTCTTTTTAAAAGTTGTATTACATTAATTTGCAATTATTGCAGACTTTTTTGATTTATATTTTCATGAATATTCACAACCAAATCTTCATTTTCTTTAATTGTCTATCTTTATTCTTTACAGTACAAACTTTTTATTTTTGAAGTCATATTATTCACTATAAGTATTCATAAAAAAATTCAATCTCTTCTCAATTTTCAAAGATCAAGCTATTATTTAAAGAAAGTATAATGTTATTTTTAAATAACTATATAATAGGTAAATTAAGTTGTAACATATTTTCTTTAGTAAGTGGTAATATTTTACTAAGTAAAAAGTCATCATCTTGATCTTCAGGATATCAGAATTTTTGTCTTTATTAGTTTCATAAAAACCTCATTATTTTTTTATTCAAACTCTAACTCAATAAATTCTATAAAAAAAAGCTATATTTAGTTTAAAACTTAAAACTTTTAAAACTCTTGTCTGAAGATTTATTTCTCAAGTCAAGCTTCTCAGAAATATTAAAAAAAGAGTAGTTTATTTATCAAAAGAGTAAAATTTAAAAGAGTGAAATTAGAAGAAAATAAAAAGAATTTAAAATTGATCTAAAAGTGATTGAAAGGATCTATTTATAAATGATTTACAGTAATCAATATAGTATATCATTACAAGCTACAAATATTTATCAACCTCAGTTAGGATTGGAAAGGTTAATCCTGGTTCAGTCCTGGTCTTATAACTTGCAGATCTCATCATCAGGACTTGTAACCTAGTCTTTAATAACTGGTTTTGTAACTGGTTCAAAATTGGGTTTAAGATTAGTTTCTAAACAGATAATTGTGACCTTCAATTCATTATAGCTATAATAATACAATTTATTCATTGAAGAAATAGAGTTATTAACAAAAATCTCATTTATTGTGTCACAATTTCATAACCTGATCACATGCAATTTGCGAATTATTATTTATAAGCAACAATTTATTTATTATTTTATTATTTCATATTACATTATTTTCTTTCCAATATTATTAGCAATCTAACTTTTTGCACATAAAGATGCTCTAGCTATCATAGGATCTAATCTGTTACAAGTTTTAGTAATAGTATTTGTCATGACAGAAAATGCCTGTTTACAAGCTATACTTGTAGCTTAGATCGACAAATAATTTCTTGTAATATAAAATAAAACAGGAAATTCTTTCTGATGACCTTACCACTATATTAATGGTATTACATTCTCATCATATGGTAAAGCAATATAACAATCCAACTCAGAAACAATTGAAGAACTTGTTATTTCATTGTTATTTGTTGATGATGATGAAGTTGCATTAATTTGATGATGTTTTGTACGATTAAACCAATCACGTGTTATAATTTTAGTATTATCAATAGTAATTTGTATGAGTGAAGTTGGTAAAGGTAAATAATATCTATTCATAATAATTCAAAGATTATTTAATGCATCAGTTGTTAGTTGTCTGTTTTTAAAAAGTGCAAGTTTTATACGTGAA